GGTTTGCTTCAAATAACAGGGTATATATACTATGTGCCTGATCTCTAAAGAATAAGAGTGTATTTTTTTTATTATAATTAATTTATATAAAAAAGTATAAAAATTGACATTTATATAAATAATTTTAATTAATTAATTATACTTTTAATCTATATAATAAAAGTTTATTAATATATTATAAGTTACATGTTAGAAACGATACACCACTAGAGATCCATTGCAAGGGTATTGTCAAATAATACAGAACATTATATTTATTGATATCTAGTTGAATTGATGGTTTTTACAATTTAACCAATTGAATCGATCAAATCGAGACTCGGAGGTCAAAACAGTTTGATCTTCGAGTCTGTTTTCAAAACATTAGTTATAAGTGTTATATTAATATAAAAATTAATTTGCATGATCTATATAAATAAAACTTTTAGTCTACTGGTTAATTTTTGAAAATTTTAATTAAAAGGTACAGTTTTAGATAGGTTTTCAAAAATAACTTTAAGAGGATGACATACTTTATACTATCATATATATACGAAATTTTATTTTATAATTTAGATGAGTAAGGATTTCATGTTTTCTTTTAATTTTTCACACTTAATTTTTATTATTTTTATATTTTGAAATTTTAAATGGTTATCAACAAAAGAGTCATAAGCAGTGTTTTAAAAATCAGACCAAATCGATTGGTCTGATCAATTCAACCATCACCCAGTTTCCTAAACAGATTGGGTGGACACCCAAAACCCATTTTGACAATCCAACCGTCCATACCTGGAAAACTTGCTTGACCCGTCCAGCCTGGTGGATTCAAGTTTCAACAAACCCGCCGAGCGAGTTCTCCACGTTGCAACCTTTTTTTTTTTTTTTTTTTTTTTTCTTCCACTATTGGTTCAATCCCCAAAGCTTAAATTTGCTGTCTCCAAGGTTCGAACACGTGACTTCAATTTTTTAATAACTTTTGTCACTAGAGCATCAGTTCTAGTTCTAGAATTGAACTCTTACGCTTTGAATTTTTATTTAAGGAAAATATCATTTAAAATATCATTTAAGGAATCCAACTTCTTCTCATAAAATATCATGTTCTTAAAAGAAATATTGTTAACTTTTATATTAAAATTGATATAAATTTTATTTAATTAAAGTGCAATAAATGTAATTTTTTATAATAA